TAAACTAGAAATCAGTAACAGAATATAGCTGGAAAATCCCAAAATACTTGAAGATTAAAACAACACCCCTCTTAGTAACACATGGATCAAAGAAGAAATCTCAAGAGAAATTTTAAAATAAAGCAGTTTAAAAGAAAATGAAAATATTAATCAAGATTTGTGGGATGCAGCAAAAGTAGTGCTTAGAAGGAAATGTATAGCATTGAATGAATATATTAGAAAAGACAAAAGACTTAAAATCAGTAAGTTTCCATCTTAGGAGACTAGAAAAAGAAGAGCAAATTAAATTCAAGTAAGCATTATCCTGGAAGTCCTAGCTAATGCAATGAGACAATAAGAGGAAATAAAAGATATACATATTGAGAAAGAAGAAATAAAGCTGTCTTTGTTCATAGAAGACATAGTCATCTATGCAAAGTTTGATAGAATCGACCAAAAAAATTCCTGGAACTAAGGAGTGATTGACTGTAGCACAGTTGCAAGATAACAAGATTAGTATATAAAAGTCAATCACTTCCCTATATTCCAGCAATGAAAGAATGGAATTTTAAATTAAAAATATTACCACCTACATTAGCACTAAAGAAAATGAAACAGGTATAAAGCTAATGAGTTATGTGGATATCAACAAACTGATTCTAAAATTTATATGGAGAAGCAAAAGACCCAGAATAGCCAACTCAACACTGAAGGAGAACAAAGATGGAGGACTGGCGCCATCCTACTTTGACTTTTGATAAAGCTACAGTAATCAAGACAGCATGAGGGGCGCCTGGGTGGCTCAGTTGGTTAAGCGACTGCCTTCAGCTCAGGTCATAATCCTGGAGTCCCGGGATCGAGTCCCGCATCGGGCTCCCTGCTGAGCAGGGAGTCTGCTTCTCCCTCTGACCTTCCTCCTTCTCATGCTCTCTGTCTCTCATTCTCTCTCTCAAATAAATAAATAAAGTCTTTAAAAAAAAAAAAAAGACAGCATGGTATTGGTGAAAGAACAGACAAATAGCTCAATAGAACAGAACAGGGAGTCCAGAAATAGACCCACATTAATATAGTGAACTGATCTTTGCAAAAGAACAAAGGCAATACAATAGAGCAAAGATGGTCTTTTCAACAAATGGTGCTAGAACAATAGATAAACACACACACACACACAAAGAATCCAGACACAGACTTTATACCCTTCATAAAAATTAACTCAAAATGGGTCACAGACCTAAATGTAAAACACAAAACTATAAAACTCCTAAAAAACAACATAGAAGAAAATCTAGATGACCGTGGGCATGGTGGTGACTTTCTAAGGACAACACCAAAGGCACAATCCATGAAAGAAATCATTGACGAGCTGGACTTCAATAAAATTAAAAACCTCTGCTCTGGGAAAGACGATGTCATGAGAATGAGAAGACAAGACACAGCCTGGAAGAAAATATTTGCAAAAGACGCATCTGATAAAGAACTGTTGCCCAAAATATGCAATGAACTCTTAAAACTCAACCATAGGGCGCCTGGGTGGCTCAGTCGTTAAGCGTCTGCCTTCGGCTCAGGTCATGATCCCAGGGTCCTGGGATCAAGTCCCACATCGGGCTCCCTGCTCGGCAGGAAGCCTGCTTCTCCCTCTCCCACTCCCCCTGCTGTGTTCTGCTCTCACTGTCTCTCTCTCTGTCAAATAAATAAAATCTTAAAAACAAAAACAAAAACTCAACCATAATGACACAAGCAATCCAATTAAAGAATGGGCAAAAGATCTGAACAGACACCTCACCAAAGAAGATATACAGATAGCAAATGAACACATGAAAAGATATTCCTATCTTTTCAAAAAACATAAGAAAAAGTATTCAATGTCATATGTCATTAGGGAATTACAATTAAAACAAGGAGATACCAGGACACGCCTATTAGAACGTCCTAAATCCAAAGCACTAAGGACACCAAATGCCGGTGAGAATGGGAAGCAATGGGAACCTTCATTCATTGCTACAGTGTGGTCACTTAGGAAGATGGTTTGTCAGTTTCTTACAAAACTAAACATACTCTTCCCATATGATTCAGCAATCATGCTCCTTGGTATTTACCCAAGTGAACTGAAAACTTCTGTCCACACAAAAACCTGCACATGGATGTTTATAGCAACTTGACTCCTAGTTGTCAAAACTTAGATGCAATCAGGAAGTCCTTCCACAGATGAGCGGCTCAAGACACAGGTCCATCCAGACAATGGAATATTATTCAGCGTTAAAAAACAAATGAGGTTTTGAGCCATGTACAGACATGGAGGAAGGAAGCTTAAGTGCATAATACTGAGTGAAAGAAGCCAGTCTGAAAAGGTCACATACTGTCTGATTCCAACTGTATGACATTCTGGAAAACCTAACCTCTGAAGACAGTAAAAAGATCAGTGGTTGCCAGGGGTTAGTAGGGAGGGAAAAAGGAATAGGGAGAACAGAGGATTTCTGGGGCAATGAAACTGTTTTGTAAGATACCACAATGATGGGTACCTGTCACTCTACATTTGTCAAAACTCCTACAATACACAACACCAAGGGTGAACCTTAAATGTAACCCTTGGACTTTGGGTGAAGATGCTGAATCGAGGCAGGTTCACTGATGACAACAAATCAGTAGTGGTGCAGGATGTTGATAGTGAGTGGTGCACCGGAGGGACAAGGGATATGGGGGGATTCTCTGTACTTTCCACTTAATTTTACTGTGAACTGCCTTAAAACTGCTCTAAGAAATAAAGTTTATTAATTAAAAACAAGATTTAAATGGATGAACGACAGAATTCTCCTCCTTCTTCCTGTTCCCACAGTTGTGGTGTGAGCTTATATTTTTCCTCTTACATCATTGGATTCAGGGTTCAAGTTTCACAGGGCCTTTTGCTCTACAAACCATGAGTGCGAAGGTTCTCCACCCTCTGCTGGAGTTTCTGCTGAACCGTCAAGATAAAGCAAGAGTGTCAACTTCTAATCTTCTTTTAAAGACAAGTATGGACAACTCAGATCCCCATGTCAGGATGATGTCACAATGACAAAGTCAAAGCCACTGCAAGAGTTCAGGGAGGCCATCTCAGCCCCTGGCTTTCAAAATGGTCTTAGCATCGGAATCCAGTTTTCAAATGAACTTACACAGAACCCCCCAAATATACAAGAGTTAATAGAGTAAAAAAAAAAAAAAAAACACACAGAACTGTCCTGGCACCTGATTCTAACACGTTTCATTTCCTAACACAGTCATTATTCCTTCCAGCTCATCAACTGAGAAATACAACAGATGCCCCTCCTATATTATTGTCCAAATAGTTGGTGACAATACTGAACAGGACAGGGCTCAGTAGCATGATTTGGAAACTTCCCTTTTCTTTCTCATATATAGACACATTGGCAAAGATGTAATGATGTAATTAGTTTGGACATTATGTTATAAAACTTTTCAAATGCATAGAAAAGTAAGGGAACAGAATAATGAACATCTACATCTAGATTTCAGGGTTGTAATTATTTTTCTGTATTTCTGTTGCATTTATAGGCACTGATTTTTTGGGGTCCTGATTTGGACAAACCAGCTATAAAAGACATTGTGGGACTGTTGAAGGACATCTGAATTTTAAAAAGGCACCTCTGCAATGTCCAGGACTCCTGGGAATCCTTTAAGACCCAATGGTCCAGCCTCCCTTGCATTTTGCACATGGGGATTCTGGGCCCCAAACAAGGAAAAGCCCAAAAAGCCTCCAGGAGGCTGGCTTCTGCCTGCGCCTTTAGCTCCTGCCCTAGGCTCCCCAAAAGGCATCCTGTGCTCCAACCACATCATACATGCATTCCTGCAAATATTTCACAGATCTCAAGCCTCTGTGCCTTTGCTCTACCTTTAAAACATAGCTGAGGCATCACCTCCTCCAGGAAGCCTTTCCTCACACCCTTCATCCACCCTACGCCCAAGGGTGGAAGTAGGTCAAGCAGAAGCCAGCACCCCCAGAAATGGGTAACACACAGACCTAATAGTCTAGGTAGGCAGAACCAAACCAAACCTGCAAACTAGCAGGAAGGTGTGAGGGGGGCCTGGGGAACTGCACCTGCAAAAGGAAATTACAAAAGGAAGTAAGTATTGCTAAGAGAGTCACTCAAAATGGAGTGGGGAGGATACTGAGGAAGCAGCCCTATGGGCTCCTGTTTCAATTCTGAGAACACCATGAACTCTTGACTTTTGTCCATTTTGACTTGCCAATTGCACATTGATGGCCTCTTGGAACACCTCCTCTACTGCCGACTGAAATAGAGATAATGTAACACTGGTGAGCAACAGAGCCAATCCTGCATCAGGTGGTCAGTTAAGCACTGTCAGCACCGATCACGATTCCTTCAAAACAAGTTACCCAACCCTGTGGGTTTTGCCTTCATAAGCCTGCACTCCCTGTTGCAATTCCGAGCACAGTCTCAATCTCGGTCCTCTCTGTGCCTCCCACATTGCAAATCCTAAGACCTCAAATAAACACTTTTGGTTGCTTTACAGCCTCTTCTTGATTGACATACCTACTGTCTTGATTCCAAACGAAAACAAAGGCCAACGGTGGATCTTGACCAACAGATACCCAAGTGACCTCAAGCTGTGATTAAAAGCCATAAACACAAAAAGAACATCAGGAAAATGTCTATGCATAAGGTCTCTCTGTGCCTCCTCGGATTCCATGCCCAGGAATAAGCCCCTGAGACCTCCGAAGACCCCTCTCCTTGCCCTGCACTTTCCCAGGACACTCCAGCAAGAACTGAACGCCCCGCGTTGTGACATTGTTTCTGTGTCTCTCATCTCCCCTCCTCGACGGCGGGGGCTGGTCTCACTCTCTCTATCCCTCTCCTAGACCCTCTGGCAAAGGTCTGGTACAGAACTGGCCTGCAAAGTTTTGCAGAATCAGGTACCATCCCGGCCAGGCGCTAGCACCTGAAGATTTCCACGTGGCCGCAGCGCCCTCTGCCGAGCACATCCCGCAGTCGCGGGGCACTCACCTGAGCGGGGGCATTCACCACCGACAGGTTGTACCCGTAGAGGAAGGAGGAGCCGAAGGCGCCCACGAGAGAGGCCACGATGAGCGAGCAGGACCAGTCCTGGGAAAGGAGAGGACAGCACGTCAGATCTGGCAGTCGGGCACAGAGCCAGGGGCCCACAGGACGTACCTGGGCTGTCCCCTCGTCTGGGGAGGCCGCCCCAGAGAATTCCCAGGACAAGGAGACAAGTTCCTGGAGCCGGCTGGCAGGTGAGTTGCCCATCCAGGTCCACCTGCGCAGGCAGGCGCCCTGGGTGAGTTGGGTCAGCCCCCGGATCTCAGTTTGCTTCTGACTGCTGCAACAGATCAGTGACTGGCAGACCTAATATCCTTAGCAGGTGCTTTGTAAGCAGCCACATGCTATTATTTCAGCTGAATTTGGCCACTTTCTGAACCACACAGGAGCAAAAAGCAAAGCCAGACACAGCGGCCAGCATCTGGGGCTTACAAGAGGTATGGGCCAGGCATTGCCCAGAGCCCTTTCTGGGTATTCTCTCCGGGAATCCTTAGATCAGTACTATTTGATCCTGATGTTGTTAGGTGAGGAAACAGGCACAGAGGTGTCCGTGCTGCTGTCCGGGGTGGGGGCTGGGGCCCATGCAGGCTCGCGCTGCACCGCGCTGCCTCTCCGTCTGGGAACGTGTCTCGGGGCTTGAGGCTGCTCACAGCTGCCCACGTGCACACGCGCTCACATGCACGCGCACGCACCGCCGCACCTGCCGTTCCAGACTCAGCTGTCCATCCGCAGGCCACTTTGAGGCCCTCGGGCCAAGGGCCTGCAGAGACATACAGGGCTCAGCCTGGAGAAAGAGGCATCTGCCTCCATGAATCCTGTCCTTCGGCCTCATCCAAGGATGGTCACAATCAGGACAGGGCCCTGAAGCGGAAGCATCTGGGCCCCTGGGCAAAAGCTGACCAGCCTGCAGGAGCTGGAGACAGGAGGGGTTGCCATCCTAAGCTGGCCGGGGGGAATATGCCAGTCTCCGGATGGAGGTGACCCAGGTGCTCTTGGAAGCCGCTTTCTCTGCTATCCTGTAACGTGTGTGCGCTTCGCAGGCCAGGCCCTGATAAAGCCCCAGGGGTATAGCAGCAAACAAAACAGACAAGGTCCACAGTTCCGGGGACTGAGCCGGTCAAATACTGTTTGGAAGGGAAAACAGGACCCCAATAGCCAATTCCCTGCTCTGCCTACCTCAGTAGTCTCCTCTAGCACGGGATGCAGTGCTGGACGTTCCGGCCACTCAGCTATGGGCACCGGAGCCAGTTTCTTGACCTTTCTGGGTCTCAGCTTGCCCAGCTGGAAAATGGATCTAAGAACAGCACGGCTGTCCAGGTTGTTGAGCACTCGCCGTGTTGCTGGGTGAGGATGTTGAGAATGTTGTGTGCACACAGGGAGGGTTCAGAAAGCCTGTTTACTCTTTCTGCTTTCCCTCTGGCCCAGCCATACAGAATGGCTGTTGCCCAGGTCAGGTGCCAGGGTCTCCCTAGGCCTGGCCCGTGTGGCTACGTACACCCGGAATTCTCCCTTCTAGAGACTTGTGTATCCAAGACCCATGACCAGTGTCCTCTCCTCTGAAAGCTCCATCTCCTCGTGTTGACATTTCTCTATGATTCAGCTCTGTCCTACCCCGGGCTCTGCCGCTTAGGACTGTAACCTTGGACCAGTTACATAGCTGCTCTGTGACTCAGTGTTCTTATCAGAAAATGTGGATGATAACGGACCCCACCTACTGGGCTGTTATGCTGAGTTAACACTGTGCCCGCGAGCGTTAGCAACAGGGGCCGGACAGTGGGCAAGGGTCTCACTTTTTGAGGGTAGGGGTCTTGCTTCCAGGAACCAAGCCTGCTGCAGAGAAGGTATTCAGGAAATGCTAGTGATCGGATGGAAGTGAGAAAGGGGGTTTATAAGCCACCAGGATGGACACGGCCAGATGTGGGGCCAGAATCTTTTCCTGCAGTAAGAGGGGCCTGAACTGCATGGGATTCATCGATGGAACAGAAATGCACTTTGGACAAAATGCCCATTCTCCATAGTCCCTTATCCTCTGGGTCTCGGCTCAGATGTCACTCCTCCCAACTCCCTGGGCTGTCCCTGGCGGCCTTCTGTCCCTGGACCCCCTTGCTTCCAGCCCTGATCACTGTCCCCTTGTCTACACCCATCAGAGGATAGAGAAGGGCAGGTGGGAGCCTCTCCCTGGAGCCCCTGCCCCCACTTGGCCAGCCGGGGCCCACCCCCTCTCATCACCTGCCCCAGGGACAGGGTACCAGCTGTGGGGGTGGGGAAGGAAGAGGGGACACCACCCAGCACGTGCGAGGCCTCATTTCATGAGCACAGCCACGTTGCCAGAGGAAACCGCAGCTCCAGAGCGGGAGCTCCACGGCCAAGGTCACGGGGACCAGGATGCCTGCACTCAAGACAGGCTTCTCTGACCCAGGGCCCCAGGCCTTCCAGGCCACGGAGGCAGTTAGGTGCAGCCGCCCACGCTGGGCCTCTGAGCCCCATGGCAGGGTCCAGAGGCCGGTTTCTGTGTTTACCTTTCTGGTCCTCCTGCCCGGTGTCCTTCTCTGGGCACGGCCACGCTCGGCAGCCCCTGCATGAGCCCAGGCCCGGGAGTCCATGCTCCTCCGGCCGCGGGCTGTGCCAGGGCATCTCTGAGCAGGAGGCAGAGTCCACAAGGGGGCGGGGGCCTGGCAGGAAATGCGGCAGTTCTGTCTGGTCTGAACAGGAAGTGGGCACCGTGGGCTCTCCCCACCCCACCCCGTTCCCAGTCATAGCAGCAGCCCAGGAGTCCTGGAAGGGCAACTTGCCTTCTCAGGAATCACCACCCAGGGCAGGGATTTTTCCTTTGGCACCTTTGATTTTCCCTCCCAACCGCGTGCAGTGAGGGAGCACCGGGCATGAAGCCAGGGTGCCTCCCAACGGATTGGGACAGAAGGAACGTCATTGGTGGCACGGGAAGCCTGCTGGCGTCCCGACCCTGCCTCTCTAACTGCGTCCTTAGCCAATCCACTTTGCTTCTCTGAGCTACGATGTTTACGAGGGCAAAACGGAAGGCTGATCCCTCCTGGACTGTCCGTCCAGTAGTTATTCTGAGGCTCAACTAGAAAACACATAGCTTCGAGCAGCATGCTGGACGTGGGCATGACTGCCCTGCAGCTCTCCAACAAATGGGGAGGCTCTGGGTTTGGAAGAAAAAGGATCTGCCCCTCTTTTGGTCATTACTCTGTCCTGCTCACTCAGCGTTGGCTCAGGGAAGACCTCTTCCTTGCCCAACCCCGGGCTGGCTCAGGGAACGCATGAAGGAGGCAAGACCCCTCCATGCATACTTAATGTCATCAGAATTAATTCACCACGTGGCCAGTTTGCCCCAGATGTCAGAGAAGTACCTTTAATCATGACAGGTTTAGGACAGCCTGCCTCGGCCCTTTGCTCGCAGAGGCAGAAGGCAGGTACCCGAGGCCAGTGGGCGAAGGTATGTTTGGGGAATGCAGAACCCCGCGAAGGCTAGGGAGGTATCAAGTCCAGCAAGCAAGCAAACTAGGTTCAGTGGATCACAGACAATGAACCTGGGGCTGGATCACGGAAGGCTCTCTGAAAGAGAGTAAGCGCTCTCAGCTTACTGAGTAAGCTCGGGGGGAATATGCAGGCAGAGAAGGTGCGTGGGGCGGGAGAACATGGGCCCAAACCCATGGGCATAGATGCCCTGGGGTATGTGGGAAAGCAGAATAATTGAGCATGGCTGGGCCTGAGGTATGGGAAGGGGTGTGGGAGGGGACTGGACAGCTGCCTCCCCGGGTCTTGGGGACCCACACTATGCCATCCTGATGGGGACTTTATGTTCATCCTCCTCTTCTCCTCCCCCTCCCCTCCTTAGCTCAGGCACTTCCGTGTATTCTTCCTGGCTTCCTCATCGCTAACAGGGTGTCTCACCTGATCTCACTAGAACTCAGACTGAGGCAGGTGATCCCCCCCCCACCCTCCGCCATTTAAAATCGTTCTGTGCTTTCCCATTGGGGTTGAAAACTCAGTAGGCCCCAGGCCCCAGGACAAATCAGGACAAATATGCAACTGCATTTGGGTGTGAAGTGGGGAGTGGGGGTGGGGACGCCGCCGCGCTGTGAAGCTTGAGTCAGCAAGCATTAAAGGCCCTGCCCGCCGAGCACAGCATGTCCGCAAGCCAGCAGCGGGCTCCGAGTGTGGCCTTGAGCCCCTGCACACCTCTCCTGCCTCAGCCTCCCTGATCCAACGCCTGCTGAATCTGAGCTCCAAGGCCAGAAGCCGGAGGGGATGCAGACCCCAGGGATGGAGGGAGACCAGCCGCCCCCACCTGCGCCCGTCCGGCCCTGCACCAGGCGCCGTCCCAGACCCTAAGACTGGACATGCGCAGACTTCACTTTTCCTTTTGGTCCCACAGCCTGGAGGTGGTGCTTGGCCTGAAGAGTTCCTCTTATTGGTGGAGCTGGCTGCCCATAACTCCTCTCCCCCGCCTGCCGAAGGCGAAGGAACCCAGAGGGGAGCAGTGCCTCGCCCCAAGTCGCGCACCTGAGAGTAGCCCCGGCTCAAGTTCCAGGCCGGTGCTCCAGCTATTTGGAGAGTGGCCTTCGCGTTAACTGCACTGCCTTCCTTTGAATTTGAGCTTTTCAGGGTGAATTACAGCTCTACTTTCTGGGAAACCTTGGTGAAGTTGACCCGAGCTGTCCCTTCCCCTTGCCACAGCTTAGCGGCTTAAAACCCAGACACGGGTGGGTGGCGCGCTGCCTGGGTTTGAGCCTCCGCACAGCCACTTAGGACCTGTGAGCCCTGGTGCAAGTCCCTCGGCCTCTCTGTGGCACAGGGTCCTGGTCTGTAACACGGGCGTGACGGGGCCACCGCCTCAGACTTGTGGAAGATTCTGTGAGTTTATACTCGAAAAGCACGTCGAACCGAGGAAGCTAAAACATCAGCCAGCATACCGCAAGTGTACAATGAATACTCATTAGTATGTTTTAAATCACCTTGTCCCCAGATAATGTGCTGTATCTGGACCCAAATGCTCTCACCCTTTTCTAAGTAAGTACCATCCTGCGTACTCTGCGTAGAAAGATCTGGGCCCCTCTAGGGAATTAGCGTCCTCCGCGGTAAACGGGGAGGTCTGGGGCCAGGTTAATGTCACCGGGCAATTGCTAAGGCCTGTGCCAGGGCTCAAGTTTGGTCTCCCGGTGGTGAACATGATGCGTTGCACCTGCCTGGACCAGACGGCAGGTAACCGGGACTACCCATCACGCGAGCACCCTCCTCCTGCACCTCCCGGGCCGCGTCTGCACTGCTTTGCCCTCGGCCAAATGTGTTCACACCCATGATGTCAGCAGTCCTCCACCAGCCATCTGAGGAGCTGCTAGGCCGACGTGACAGGGAAGAAGTGGAGTTTGGGAGAGTGGGTACCATTCCCACATTGGCTTGGCCTGTGGTGCCGCGCTCTCTGGCAGACCCTGAGAAAGTTACCTCTATCAAGGATGTGGCCATTAGACAAATGTTCCCAGGTGTGCTGGGCCTGAGCCACGATCACCCTCTTCTGACCCGTATGCACACACCCACCCTCCATTATTTATCGAGTACCTACTCCTGCCAGGTTCTCCTGGCCCTTGCTCAGGAGACTACCTCTGACTACCCATAACTGCTCATCCATCGGCACTCCGCTCTCTCACCAGCTCCCCCCGAAGCCCCGCCGGGCCTCTCTCTGCCCCTCTGTGCTCTGTAGGCTGCTCACCACTGCACTGGCTGTGACCATCCTTACTTACAAGTGTCTGTCCCCATGTGTGCCTTTCTCTCTGGACGGGAGCTCACCAAGGGCCGGGGCTGTGTGTGTCTGTTTTGGAGTGAACTGTGTCCCCCTCCCCAGATTCATCTGGGGAAGTGCTAACCCCCAGCACCTCAGAAGGTGACTGTATTGGGGGACAGGGTCTTTAAAGAAGAGAGTGGGGTAAAATGAGGTCACTAGGGTAGACCCCAATCCGATATGACTGGTGTCTTTATAAGAAGAGCATGGGACACAGACACATATAAAAGAAAGTCCATGTAAGGACGTGGGGAGAGGACAGCTGTCTACATGCCAAGGACAGAAGCCTCAGAAGGAACCAACCCTGCTGACATCCTTGATCTCAGACTCCAGCCTCCAGGACCATGAGAAAGTAGATCTCTGTTGTTTAAGCCCCCCAGCTTGTGATGCTTTGTCATGGCAGCCTGAGCAGGCTAATCCAGCATCCTGAGCCTCTTTGGATTCCCAGAGTTTTCTTCCCACCTCACTCAAGGAAGGGGCCAGGTAGATACTTCTGGAACTGAACTCAAACTGATGGTGTCCTGAAGCTAGAAAGTCAGCTTGGACAAGATGAAAATTTTCTACCAGGAAAGGAAAAAAAAATGGGGGGGGGGGGAGTTTTTTATTGAATAGCATTTAAGCAGAATGATTAAGATGACAGTACCACTTCCTTCCTGACACCAAATGCCTGGACTGCAGAGCCTTGTGACTCTACCTCACAGGAGTGTGTCCTTGGAGGGAATGACTGTTTATTTAATGTGACTCTGCCACATCCCTGGATGACCCGAGGAGGTGGCTGGACCCTCCTTAAGCCTCTGTCTCACACCTATGGGTGGGGACAATCACTCTCAGCCTGCCAGTTCCACACTTCCCTGGTGGTTTGATAAATACACTTGTGTTGATCTTTGTCCGGCTAAATACAGTTTATTAAAAACATGGACATGTTTTTTTCTTGGACATGTTATTTTCTTCTGAGTCCTGGTTGCTTCTGCTGCTATCACAGGAGATGAGGCACAAAGGGACCAGGGTTCGAGACCACTCCTCCCCAAACTAGCTACGTAGCCTTGGACAAGTGGCTTCATCCCCGTCTGAGCTGCAGCTCCTCGCCTGCAAAATGAGGGTGGTGATGTCTTCACTGGGGTATATGGCCAAGAGAACCGAAGGAGAGACCCGGGTAAAGGCCCCACACAGAGCAGGTGCTGTCTGGCTTTGGTTTTTGAGTCTGGTTTAAAAGAAGGTGCAAGGATCCCTGAGGAGTGAGGGCCTCTCTGGGGCAGGTGGACTGGGCCTTGTGGTGGGGTAGGGAATGGGTTTCAGCATATCCTCAAGGACCTCGACATCCTCACTCTCACACAGCAGTGTCCCCTCGTTGCGAAATGACCTTTGGAGTGGAGACACTCCCGCCAGTCCTGAAGACCACCAGCAGATGACAGAGTCATCATCACCCACAGTACAATACGATCAGTGGCCTAGGGCTCGTAGTACATGCTTTCCTGCTCACACGGCAACTTCCCACACACTGTTGCTTCTACCCCCTTGCTCTCTCTTCTCCACCTGACCTCGCCTCCATCTACATCTCCTCGGGAGCAGCGAAGGGGCCGGGAGGGACTGCCCCAGCGTCACCAGAACAGGGAGAGAGAAGGAAACCAGGACTGACCAATTTCTTTCTCGCCAAATCACTTTCTTTGGAATCTGCTGAGTCCTTTTCACTGCACTTCATGGTTTATTTTTCAAAATTTGGACTGGGTTTCCTTGTTCCTGAAAAAGAGAAAAAAAAGGAAGAAGTCATTAGATACTTGCCGTCCCGATGGGTAATTAGGGAAGGTGCCCCAAAATGGGGGGGTTGCCTGGTGAGGACACGAGGACAGCGGTGCCCAGCTCCCCTGGGGACCCACGCATCTCCATGCTCGTCTCTAGCCTCATGTCTCCATCTGCAGGATGCGGGATGGTGGGGCTGGACGACTTCTGTGTTTCCCGCACTTGCTGTGTTGCTTATTAAATTCAGGCCCCTCCCCAAAACATTCTCATTCAGATGGTCATCCTTATGGCAGGGAAGATCTTGGAAACTCCAAAATTTCTGTCCCCAAGACGTGAAAATAAAAGCGGTGTAAATTAAAACCAAGTGCCCATCTTCCCTGTCAAATTGGAACCAGTCACCAAAATTGTAACCAAAATCACTGGCAGGACAGAAGTAGAAAAATGTGCAGCTTTTCTGGAGTTTGGAAATAAGTTACCAGAGCCATAAAAATATGTGGGCCCTTTGGCCCAACTACTCCATCTATAAAAAGTTATTAGAAAGCAGTAATAAAGAACATGCACAAAGATTTTAGCCCGAGATTGTTAACAAATGGGTATTCACAATAGAAAAAAAAAATCTAACAGGAAAGTTTAAATAAGTTATGGTACATCCATATATGGAAACTCATGTAGTATTTAAAAACTATGTTAAAGAATATTTAACGTCATGGGAAAATGCTCATCATCTTACTTGACAGAGAAAGATCTATAAAAGAATATCCATTAGCATTAAAAACAGATGTACTTACTAATAAATCCATGCTATTATATGAGGACTTAAACTATGCCCGTGTGTTTTTTCATATAAAATTAAGATTTTTTTAGATGTTGGTACATTATTTATTCCACAATTATTCATTAAGCCTGTAATACCTAGGTAAGATCAAGACAGACCTTGCCCTGCCCTCATGGAGCTTCCATTCTAGAAGAGCCCATTTGGGAAGAGCATACAGAGTGCTCCCGGGGCATGGGGAAGGCGGAAGGACAGCAGGAGCCTGGGCTGCCAAGGTGAGCAAAGGACTCATCACATATTTATGTGCAGCGAAAATAGACTCCCTGGAAGTAGCAAAACGGAACAGCAGTTTCTACTTGGCTGTGGTATTTTAGTCCATTTCTATCTGGTTGGTTTTCCTGTGCTTTTCCAATTTTTGACACACACACACCCCCCACTTCTATAACTAGAAAAGCAAGTTTTAAAAAATCGCTTTAAATTTAAAAAAACTTTAAAATCAGTCCTTAAGGTGTCAAGTAGCCAAGCAGGCATAAAAAAATACAATTCTGGAAGAATATTTAGTTCTGATAGGATGATGGGTTCTGCGATCCAGAAGTCATTTGAGCTGGCCCCACAGGAATGTTGGTTGGTGAGCTTCTGTGGGCAGCGCTCGAGGGGGACATCTGAGGCCCTCCCCTGAGGGACCCTGCCTATCTCAGCCCAGCACACACCCCGGGACGCTCCAGCCCACTGGACCTCCCTTTTCAGGCCATTCTCATTCTCGTGTTCCTTTGGCTGCCCCTTAGCCTAGAATGCTTTTCCTCCTCCCCGTGCACAGAAGGAAGTGATTCAGTTTTTCCAGAAGGAACAGACAGTCACTCAGAGTAGGTGAGCCTTGAAGGTGAGACTCTGTGCCTCACCCTACAGAGACCACCACAGAGCTGACAATGACTTCATCGTCCCCGAGACATCATGTCCCAGGTGGGAAGCTGCCCACCGGCACGACACAAGGCCAGGTGCAGACAGCGTGCACCCCAGGCGGCATGGGGCCATGAGTTCAAACCCCAGCCCTATAGCTTACAAGCTGTGTGACTTGGGGCAAGGTGCTTAACCTCTCTGTACCTCTGTTTCTTTATATGTCGAGTGAGGAAGAATAACAGGACATATCTCACAGGGCTTTTGTGAAGATCAAATGAGTCCATGTATATGAAGCACATAATAAATGCTAAATGGTCACCATCATCACCGGACTCCCAGCAAATGGTCTCTGTGGAGCGCAGATAAGGCAATCATTTGTCAGGGTCCTCGTGGGACACCGTTCTAAGACGGTGTCTTAGAACTGGTTACGAGGAAAAAGGAGGGGGAACCATTTGGCGTATGAGTAGAGAACCCTCAACTGCCTCAAAATAATTCTCGAAGGCTTAAATAGAATAATGAATAAATAGAACATAGTATAAATAGAAGCTCTGAGCGTGAGGTTCTAAAACCCTGTCTTTTCAATCTGCAGTAATAATATAGAAATTGCTGCTGATGCGATCTCACACTCTACTGATGCCCACTAGTGTGGCTGTGACACTTCTTAAAAAAGTTCCAAGTGCGCTGCACCCGTTGATGAGCAGCCCGGTCCCAGCCCCCAGGGTGCCCACCTGCCTCAGCCCAGCAGCTACAGGGTTAACGCCTACATAGCGATGCCCAAGACTCTGCTCCTAGCAATCTGATTGCCCCCCCCCCCCCCCCGCCTCGGCTGTACCTGGGGTTAAATATTTAGAAAACCGCCTCTGCTACTGATAATAAACTTTGACGGGTGCCATGTGTCGATCGCGATGGCCAGCCATGCTGGAAATAAAGTAAGCGAGCCTTGGAGAAGTATCTTTACCCGCCCAACCCGTCACAGAGGGTGGATCTGAGCCTACACAGCTTCAGGTCACATCGTCGCTCAAAAACCTGTGTTGGGTGGAAGGACGGACGGACGGAGGCGAAGAGAGGGCACGGCTGACATTCGTACACCACAGAACGTCAGCAGACGGCGCAGGTGAACCTGTTCTCCCAAAGCTGGCTCATGCAAGCGGGAGGCCACCTCCCTCGAAGTGCCTGCAGGTGCTGCCTTGTGTGCGGTCCTGCCCCTGGCTGACAGCTCTCCGTGGGAAATGCCACATACTTCCAAGTCCCCCCACGTTTTTGATTAATACTTGGCTGTGACTTTATTCTTAATTTTCAGGGTGAAGTCTCTGCTGACTTCGACATGGAGCTAAAGCTAACTCTGAAACAACATATTGAAAAGGAATGTGGAAAATAGAGCAGAGTTGAGAGAGAGAGGAGAGAAAGAAAAAAAGAAATAGAAGGAGAGGGAGGGAGGGAAGGGGGCCGGCAGAAGGAGATTACTGGATTAGTAGCCATCCGAATGATTGCCTTAGCCATAATCACTCGTAATCAAATTCATTTTTATGTTAACATTTATCAAACACCATGCTAAGCACTTCATGTGCGTTTTCTCTCTTAATCTTCACCAAATTGATTTTCAAATCCCTCACTTTTCAATTCTCTTATTCCAGCTGCTTGGTGAGAGTCTCATAGGCTCTTGAAATCATCCCTAAAGCTAATCCAGGTCTGTGAGCATAACTCACCTGGCTCCTCCCTTGTCTGTTACAGTCTAAAGAGCAAAGAGCATATGCTTCCTAGGTAACTCAGCTCCCCATATAATCCGATATAAGCCTGCGAAATTGTCAAAGAAAGCAACATTAACGATTAAATGGCACCAGCTGTTACTGTAAACATTCCGTGAAGCCTCTCTCCAGGGGCCGAGAGAGAAATGATTAACAGTGAACTACCGAGGGCTAGCTCAGCTTATCAGAAACGTGCCAGGTGAGGGTCAACAAGTTCTGGACCAGAGTCAAAGGCAGAGGTATTCCCGAGAAGCCACTGCTGATTATGGGACTGACCTTCCTGGGTGTCGGAGGGCTTCTTGCTAGCCTGAGGGTGTGTGGCCAGCGTGGGACCAGCCTGCCCAGGTGGCGGTGAGGTTTAGGTGACATGACACGCAACAAGCTGTAAAGCAGGACACAGATGGATGCACGCTGATCGGGTCCTACGCCCAAATGAGCAGGATGAAGGGTTTACGCTTGCTACTCTGTTGATGTAGGAGTACAATTAGCCCAATGAGAAATACGTGAGAGCCGTCGACTCTGAGATGCTGTACCCGTGGGCATTGCTCTTGTTATTCTAGGAATGCCACAATATCCTCCTGACCTGTCCCTCTAGCGTGAAAGAGATGCCCACGTGTGAATCCTACTCTGTCTTCAGGACTCTGAGATAAATGGAGGGCTGGAGTGGTGCAGAGATGCGAGGGACAGAGGTGAGGAATCCAAGAGCATGTCTGGGGAGCGCGGGGCAAGATCCAAGGTCAGCCAAGGGCACCCACAGCCTCCTCCTGACCAGTTCACAGAGAGAGCCGACAGTGTGGGAAGTGAAAATGGGCTCCTGGGAGTCCCACCCACCATGGAAAAGGGACTCTGTGCCTGGTTCAGGCATGTGTTTAGGTCCTGGGAGATAGCACCGTTTGGGGAACCTGGAAAAGCGCATCCAATTCCCTTGGCATCAGTTCAGAGCACCCAGGCAACCTGCTCATGGCTAATCCCATTTCCCCAGTTTCCCAATCTTGAGGTTGACAAAAGGTGGCCTGGAGAGCAGGAAGAAATCACCTGATCCCTGCGAAGCATCTACGACAGGTGTTTTTACCGACCAACCTCCATGTCTCACACAACTTGCACACCAGGAAGATGACATTTCTGTGCCCGGGGTGATTTGAGCTGTGCATAAGGAAATGCAGACACACCCAGGCAGTGCGATTGCTCCCCCAGGCTTTTCAAAGCTTCCGCAATTATCCAGCTGGTGCCTAGCCCTTTCTTTCCCCAATCAGTCACCCGACCTCTCGCTCTTGACATCTTTTTAGCTGCAGCAGATCATTCTCAATGCCAGGATTATTCAACCATTGGTTTAACAGCATCTGGATAGATAATATAACATGATGACTAAGAGCCTGGGATTCAGAGCTCGAATCCCAGCCTGCCACTCCCCAGCCACGTCACATGGGGCAAGTCACCTGTCTGCGAGGTGGGGATTAGGGAGTGCTCATCTCAGGGTCATATCATACAGACCAAACAAGGTGCTGCCCTTGGAATTGCCTGCTGTGTAGCAAGTGCCCAGTATTGCTATTGTTTTGGGAAGTCTCTTTGTTGATCATTATTTTTCT